TTCCCAGCCTGCTAGCGCTCCAGCGGCTAGCTCCCTGCCTGTTTCCTGGCCTGCTACCACTGCAGGGGCTAGTCATCTGCCTGCTCCATCCCCCTCCAAGTTGGCTCAAACTTCCAGGTTGGTTGGGGATTCTTGGACTTCCAGCTCTCTGGCTGCCTTTCTGTTGGACTTACCTTTGGAGCCAGAGAGTGAACAGACGGAGTGTCCCCAGCCAACCAACCACTGGTCGGAGGGAGACCGGTCTGCTAGCGGGCTGCTAGCAGACCTACACAGCTCCGGTTCTGGGCCTACTAGCCTGGAGGCTCGCACCTCGTCGAACTCTGCGTGGGATCCACCTCCAGTGAGGCCAGCTGGAGGACGACATAGGCCACGACGACAAGCGGCCAAGAGACTGGCACCTGCATCATCCCCGTCGGTGGACCAACCAACACCAGCTTCGTTAGAACCAGAGAGCCCTAGGATTGCTAGTTCCCAACCAGTCAGCCACCCAGCTCGGAGTCGACCAGCTAGCCTATGGCCTGTTAGCCTGGAGGCTAGGCTCCCCCGGAGTCCTCCTTCGAGGGAAGTCGCCTGGCCATCTTTTCGGGTTCCCGTGGTGGTCATCGGAGGCGACCAGGTCACCAGCAGCGACCGGTCTGCAACCAGCGTGATCCCAGGCCAGCTAGTGCTACTAGCTTTGTGCCTGCCCACCTGCCTGATCCCCGGCCTGCTAGCGCTGCTAGCAGCCAGCCTGATCACCAGCCGACTCCTGTTCCTTCGTCGGTGGTCCGACCGGCACCAGCTTCGCTGGTGGCCCAGCCGACTCCAGTTCCCTCGTCGGTGGTCCGACCGGCACCTGCTTCGCCGGTGGCCCAGCCGACTCCAGTTCCCTCGTCGGTGGTCCGACCGGCACCTGCTTCGCCGGTGGCCCAGCCGACTCCAGTTCCCTCGTCGGTGGTCCGACCGGCACCTGCTTCGCCGGTGGCCCAGCCGACTCCTGTTCCCTCGTCGGTGGTCCGACCGGCACCTGCTTCGCCGGTGGCCCAGCCGACTCCTGTTCCCTCGTCGGTGGTCCGACCGGCACCTGCTTCGCCGGTGGCCCAGCCGACTCCTGTTCCCTCGTCGGTGGTCCGACCGGCACCAGCTGTCCAGTCGGTGTTCAGACCGACTCCAGCACCTCGTGTCCGGTCCATGGTCCCCAGCCCAGCTGTCCAGTCGGTGTTCAGACCGACTCCAGCACCTCGTGTCCGGACCATGGTCCTCAGCCCAGCTGCTCAGTCCGTGGACCTCAGCTCAGCTATCCAGTTGGTGGTCAGACCGACTCCAGCACCTCGTGTCCGGTCCATGGTCCCCAGCCCAGCTGTCCAGTCGGTGTTCAGACCGACTCCAGCTCCTCGTGTCCGTTCCATGGTCCCCAGCCCAGCTGCTCAGTCGGTGGTCAGACCGACTCCAGCTCCTCGTGTCCGGTCCATGGTCCCCAGCCCAGCTGCTCAGTCGGTGTTCAGACCGACTCCAGCTCCTCGTGTCCGGTCCATGGTCCCCAGCCCAGCTGCTCAGTCGGTGTTCAGACCGACTCCAGCTCCTCGTGTCCGGTCCATGGTCCCCAGCCCAGCTGCTCAGTCGGTGTTCAGACCGACTCCAGCTCCTCGTGTCCGGCCCATGGTCCTCAGCCAGCTGTCTCGCCCGTGGTCCTCAGCCCAGCTGTCTCGCCCGTGGTCCTCAGCCCAGCTGCTCAGTCCGTGGACCTCAGCCCTGCTGCAGCTCCAGAGCACCAGAGCTTTGGGTGCCGACCTCCGGAGAGGCCTTCCCGTCGGCCTCCAGTGGGTTTCCAGCCTCTTTGTTGGCCTTCCTGTCGTCCCCCTGAACAGTCCAGCCTCCAGGGCCGTACTCCGGGACGGCCACCTGAACTCTGTGGTCCCTCTGGTCCTCCCGCCCAGTTGGGTCGTCCTCCCAGACGACCTCCCGAATTCTGTGGCCCCCCTGTTCTGCCCAGCCTGTTGGGTCGTCCTCCGGGACGGCCTCCCGAACTCTGTTCTCCCCTGATTTGCCCGGCCTCACGGGTCACCCTCCGGGACGACCCCCTGAACTCTGTTGCCCACCTGGTCCGTTGGGTTATCCTCCAGGACGACCCCCTAAACTTTTGTTCCCCTCTGGCCGCCTTGGACGGCCTCCTGAACTGCCTTGCCCTGCCGGTAGTTGGCCCTTTGAGACTCTTGGTTTTGTTTTTCTGGCCCTCCACCTGGCCTCCCTCCGCCCACCCTGGGCCGGCTTGACCTGTTTGTGTTTTTTTTTTGTTTGTGATGTTTCATTTTAGGACGTCAGGGCCGTCCTTTTGAGGGAGGGGTACTGTCACACTCTGCATTTCTGTCTCTGTTTTCCCCTACACTCGCTCTCTCTCCCTGCCTGTGTCTCATTAGCCTCATGTCTTTCACCTGTGTTGCTCCCGCCCTGCTCGTTAGTCCCTGTGTGTGTGTATATATACCTGGTGTTTCTGTCTTGTCTTTGTCGGGTCATTGTATGTGTCACCCAGTGTTGCAGTTTGTCTCGTGTCGTCAGCCTTTTGGATTTCTGTTGGACAGCCGTCGTTTATTAAAACCCTTCGTTGAACCATACCTGCTCCGCTCTGTGTCCTGCTTTTGGGTCCTCCAACCTGCTCCACCCTGCTCCACACCACCGATCGTGACAGTCAGAGTGTCCCAGTGGAGCTCAGGAGACGGCGTAATAGGCACAACTTACTGTGGTGTAGCAGTGATTGAAAATGTTCTCTTCTCTGGTTGGACACTTTATAAACTATAAACTCCAACGAAGGTTAAAATCAAGGGCAACTGGACTTGGTTGAAGATACTGGAAGATGTTTCGTCCCTCATCCAAAGGACTTCTTCAGTTCTGACTGACTGGCAGGGAAACTCAGCTATTTAACCTCAGTGGGGTCGTTGGCCCGGGTCATCGATACCGCTGGTTCGTTAGTGTTCCTTGTTGCTGTGACGACAGTCGTTACAGTCGTTAAGACTACCTGTGGCCAAGACTGAACGACCATCGTTGGTATCTTCACCTGAGGCCAATAGGTTACGTTTGTTGAGTTTCCTGGGAAGTGATGAAAGGACAGCATTGTAAGTGGGGGATAAGTGGTGGCGTAGACCCCCTCCCCTCTTCAATGACGGCTTCTCGACCCTGGTGTAGATGGCTTCCTTGACACCTCTTTCAAACCATCCATCTTCTCTGTCTAAAATGTGTACCTGGTGGTCCTCAAACGAGTGTCCTCTATCCTTCAGATGTAAGTAGACTGCAGAGTCTTGACCTGAGGAGTTGGCCCTTCTGTGTTGAGCCATGCGTTTGTGTAGTGGTTGTTTAGTCTCCCCAATATACAGGTCTGTGCATTCCTAACTGCATTGGACCGCATACACTAGATTGCTTTTCTTGTGTTTGGGTGTGCGGTCTTTGGGGTGTACCAGCATCTGCCTTAGTGTGTTCTTGGGTTTAAAAAACCACAGGGATGTTATGTGTTGAAAATCCTCCTGAGTTTCTCTGATACTCCAGACACGTACGGAATCACAATGTTGTTGCGTTTGACCTTCTTTTCCTCCTCCCCTGTAGTTTTGTTCTTCTTGGATCTTGTGGCTGTCTTCACAAAGGTCCATTTAGGGTATTCACAGGCTGTAAGTGCCCCCTTCAGGTGGTTCTGTTCCTTCTCTCTGGCTTGGGCGCTTGTTGGTATGTTTTCCGCTCTGTGGTGCAGTGTTCTCATGATCCCTAGCTTGTGCTCCAGTGGGTGGTGTGAATCGAAGAGTAGGTATTGGTCTGTGTGTGTGGGTTTTCTGTAAACACCAATCTGCAGGCTCCTGTCCTCTTCAATGTGTACAGCACAGTCTGTATTTGGGGAGTTCATGGCTGAGGTTTCCTTTGTTAAAGTCACCAAGAACAATAACTAAGGAGTCCGGGAATGTCCGCTTTACCCACAGTAACTGGTCGGCCAGTGTGCGCTGTGCGTCGTGCATGTTGGCCTGTGGTGCGATGTAAACACTGAGCAGAAAGTAGCTAGAAAACTAGCGGGGAGAGTAGAATGGTTTACAGTGTATCAATAAATATTCCAGGCAGTGTTGCTGTATCACTGTCACGTCAGTACACCAGCCATTGTTGATGTAAAAACAGACACCACCACCTTTTGTTTTGCCAGAGAGTTCACTGTCGCAGTCCGCTCTGTAGACCTGGAAGCCAGCCAGCTTCAGCTCAGAGTCCGGTATTGATCCACACAGCCACATTTCCGTGAAGCACAGAACAGAAGATGAATAAAAGTCGTTTTTCCCCACCAGTAGCTGAAGATCGTCCAGTTTATTGCACAGTGAGCGCACGTTGGAGAGAAATATTCCCGGTAGCGGTGTGCAGTGTCCTCTGTGACACAGTTGCACTACCATACCAGAGGAACCAGGTTTATTGCACATCGGATTGGCTTCACTTTTCAGACCCCAAGTTCCATCCATCCATCGTCAACAGCTTATCCCGTGTACATGGTCGGCGGGGAACCGTACGTTTGAAATGAAAATAAATTGGCTCTTCTGACTAGGGATGTCGCTAGAACCAATACTTTGGTACCAAGGTTTCAGAACAAAATTCTGAAAACATGTCGGTACTTGTTTTTCTAGATACCAGAGGTGTGTATGGAAGTACTTTGCATTACCCTTATTTTAATTTGAGACAGCTGCCATTGTGTATTCTGGCGAGCTAGGTTCTATTAGACATTTGCAATGGCTAAACAAATGGCTACAGTGGTTAGGCTAGTGTAGTAGGATGTCGTCCTTACTGTACAGACTGTGTCATCTGTTGTAATGTCGTTAACTTTTTTTCATTAAATTTAAACTACTGCTTGCACTCTGACTAGAGGTGCTTTTTTTTTTTTACAGTTATTGAGCTACACCTGATAATTTATTAAAGGAGCATATGCTGTATGTATGTAAGTATGTATGCTTACATTTTAATTAAATACAGTTTTAAAGTACATGCACTGTTTGATCCATGAGCTTCAGGAGGACCTACAGAGGTCGAGGATTACAGGACCAGCAGCAAAGCCAGGGGACACTGGAGAGGAAAGAAAAGGAGCTGTTACTGGATTTATACCTGAGAGCAGCGCTTTACAAAGGAGAGAGCTTTGACAGAGTAGTGAAGATACTCCTCTCATTGTTTTCTGTGAACAATGACTTACATAACATCCTTCTTGATTTTTACCAACACGTCAAGAGTAAAGGGTGTTCAAGTGTCATTCCAAAACTGAGAGCACTTTTCCAGTCAGCTCCTGCAGTCTGGTTCATAAACCTCTCAGAGAGACAGACCTCCATCCTCCTGGAAGTGCTGAAACTCCAACCAGAGAAGAAACCTGTGGAGCTGACAGGCTGCTCAGATGAAGAGAGTGAAGTGAGGAGTTTCCTACAGTGTCTGCCTTATATCTCACAGCTCAGGTAAATGAATTGTACTTCACATGACTTCAGTGGACATTTCTGGAAACTCACTGTTAGTTTGAAGGTGAAGGTAAAGTGTTCAGGTGATCAGTCCACATAAACGTTATACTGTGTTTAGTTTTATAGATGACATGCAGTTTTATTCCACGCAGCCCAGTGTGTTTATTCCTACATTACCCAGAGTTTTGTGCAGATCAATCCCCCCCTAGCAACGCTCCCACAGAATCCTGCTCATCTCCCATGAGCTGATACGTGTTTCCTCCATCGAGCACCAAGTTTGTTCCTTTGAGGCTGTTTTCATCAGTCATCTATGGACTCAGTAAAAAGGAAACAGAGACTCAGCTATAATGATGTGATCCAACAAGCTCCAGCAATGTCAGCAACAGAGACCATCACCATTGTGTTGATGATGAGGAGTTCAGTTCTTCTTCAGGACCACTGATGTTCTTTTTTACTGTTTTACAGCTTTTTGCTGTGATTTAGCAAATCTCAGGGATGAAGCAGTAGTTTCCTGCATTAAAATATTTTTCTCTTCTAAGTACATCAATGTGTTAGTGATGACTAACATTGACTTTAGTGGAGCTACGACGAACACACTGATATTAATGAACCACATTTCTTAAGTAAACGCTAGTAAATGTGGATGGACTAACATAATTAGTATATAAGAAGGAAAGGTTAAGGATAAAAAACAACAAATATATATCTATAAGACATAACAATAATAGTAATAATAATAATAAAGATCATACATAAAAGATTAAGTGTAAGAAGACACAATTTTCTGCCATAACACTTTGTAGCACGACTTTCCTGCTTCCTTCAAGATTTTGTGAAGATTTGTATTTAATAAGAGTCTTCTAAAATCCACATACTGTATATTCCTGTTAAAATCAATGCTACTTGAGTTTTAGGTTGATTGATTTACTGTATTCTGCTCATCAGAAGGTATTTGTAGGCTTTTAGCAGATAAACTCCATATCAGTAATACATGGCTTTTTCTGCTCTTGACATCGGATTATAACAAAATGTTCAATTCTCGTTCCAGATTACAACCCTGGTTTAGAGACTCAAGTGAAGTCAGTTCTTTGGGAATCTATTCTGTGCAGCAGCAGAGAGAGAACAGCAGACAGGAGAGAAGATACTGGAGCTGTTATCATCAGTGTGCAAATATCAAACATTCCCTCTTAATGACAGATACATGGATGATGATTATTTCAGGAAATATCGTTGTGGTTTCCTGCTGGATCTGTGCTCCCACCTGAAGGACTATGAGACTAAAACAGGCTTGAGGGTCCTTCCATCATTACAGTCAGTTTTCCAGTCAGCTCCTGCTGTCTGGTCCATAAACCTCTCAGAGAGAAAGACCTCCATCCTCCTGGAAGTGCTGAAACTCCAACCAGAGAAGAAACCAGTGGAGCTGACAGGCTGCTCAGATGAAGAGAGTGAAGTGAGGAGTTTCTTACAGTGTCTGCCTTATATCTCACAGCTCAGGTAAATGAATTGAACTTCTGGAAACTCACTGTTAGTTTGAAGGTGAAGTGTTGGTGAGTCTAGAGCAGTGGTTGGCAATAGGCAGCCCGCGGGCCAGAACTGGCCTGCCAGCAGTAATACCTGCTGCCAGGTTGCATTAAAAGCAGAAAAATTAAAAATAAATAAATTGACAGCAGCTGGTGCTGGAATAGATATCAGTCACTTTATTGAAAGCTTTTACTTTGAAAAGTTCTGAAGGACATTTGAAAGAGTCTCTGGCTTACTTGACACACTCTGTAAAAGCCGCCTGTAACCTGTGATTGGATTCCCCTGAATTTCCTCAGGGAAATGAAAATTAGTGTCCATAGGTTTATGAATGCAGATCAAACGCCGGGACACACACACTGCAGCATGTTCTTTATTGTGAGCATGTGAAAAAGTGTCCTTATAGGCTAATCAAGTTGTTTAACAAGGAGAAAAAAAAAGTCCACTGGATTTTGCTATCGATCATAGTTTTTTGTTGTTGTTTTTTTACCACAATTGAAATTAAACAAAAAGTCATGACGAAGTGATCAGTTTATTTCTGGAGATCCTGATGATGCTGCCCTGTAAATTCATTAAGTTTTATAGAGTTTTACATACTGATGCAGGTACAATTGACTTGTGATCAAATCTTCCAGTATTTTGAGCTTATTGATTCATAAATTATCTGGATCAAGTATGTCTGCTAAGAAAGAGCTGTAACTTAGCAGGATGTTTGAACAATGAATGATTAAGAAGAGTGACTGAGAAGATTTAGATCAAGTGGTTTGTTATCATATTTCAACGAAACCACATGTCATCAGGATGTGATCAGTAAACCACTAGAAATCTTAATTATGTTACACTAGTACCAGTTGCGACTGGTGAAAAATATTGAAGGTGGGGCTGTGCCATATCCAGTCCATTTCAGTAACCATCCCAATACAATTTAACACAAACTGCAGGATACCAGAGCTTTGTGAAATAGTCAGAAATTATTTAATGCCAATATTAAAAAGTTTCATACAGAAAAACATAACAGTGAACATAAACATTCAAAGTGGCATGAAAAGGAAATACTCAAGTAAAGTACAAATACCTCTAATTTGTACTTCAGAACAGTAGTCCTTAGTTACTGTCCATTACTCAGTTACTCATCTGCCTGAATAGCTAGATATTCCACATTTTTTTACTTCCTCCAGAATGTAATCTTTAAGAACTGACAGCATGCAGTCCAAAAGTTTTTTTTGCACAGTTTTTGAGGTGCCTTTGAAAACAGTAAGGTGCTCCTCCAACACACTGTCCAGCGGTCAACAAGATCTACTGAAAATGCCAGGGTTGGCAAAGGATGCGGTCTCATTGTGGCCACGCAAGGCCAGCTCAAATGCCCCGCAGAATTTAACACGGTCAATTATCTTAGATAAAACGTGTCTGTTCTTATCCACCTCTTTGTTGTGTTTCCTCACCCCAATCCTGTGTGGCCTTCGTCCAGCTGGGTAGCGATGTTAACTCTGCCTACCATGGCTAGCTTCACCGTATTAGCCATATGTGCCCTCGTACACTCGTGTTTCTTCATCTTCTCAGATAAATGTATCGTGTCATTTACTCCTGTAACAGTCCATGTTGTTTCCGTCCCCGCCGTTTTAAAAAGCAAGCATGGGAAGCAAAATACAACATTTACATGATTGCATCCAACTAGCCAAGGCTGAAAGCCTGTGTCTTGAGTTGCGCATTCATCTTTGTCAACAACACCACATGTCACTCTACCACCGACTGACTCTGCTCTGACTCTGATTGGCTTAATTATGTTGCTATGGGCATATCTTGTGTCAGCTATTGGCTGCGCTGCTGTACAGCCTGGGCGATCATTGTAGCGCCCAAGAAGAGATCAGTGGATGAGCAGGAAGCTAATTTTACCCCCAAAACATAATTATTTAGCCTATATTTTACACAATTTGTGCATTTTAAACACACATATGCTTAAAAAGTAATTACTGTTTATTTCAGAAATATTTATTTTAAAAGGAAAAATCAAAACACTTTCCACCACCAGGGAGGGCGGTGCCCTAGCGCCCTCTATTGGCCAGCCGCCACTGACTAGTCCTGTTTGAAGTTTTAGAGAATGATGGATGTTAAAACTTGTGGTCCAGTATTTCAGCTTTGGAGCTGAATGAATAATAAATGTTTAATACAGAGGGGAGGATACACCTTTGTAGGCCAACTTTCCTGCTTCATTAAACATTTTGACAAGAATTTAGTTTTGTAAAATTTTGTTAAAGATGATTGATTTAAAGGTGGGTTTTTTTGGCTCAAACAGACACTTTTTACAAGCAACATATTATAGGATTCTAACAATGATATGATTGAAGAAAATCACAATTATTAATTTGATAGCATATTTTATTAAGAAATAAAGGTGCCTTGTTCACCATTAAATCAAAAAGCTAATGTTTTAATTAGTTACCTAAAAACAAGTTGTCAAATCAAAAATCTCAGCTCTTGTTTTCATTTATAGTTCAGGCTCCTGTTGCAGAATTCCTGGATATTAAATGTTCATCTGCAGTTTTCTGTAGCGTCCCAGTAATATTTGTTCTTACTGAAGCGTGTCACATGATGAGGTTAAGCTCTGTTTGAGAACATGACCACAAATACTGATATACTGAATATCCTGTAAAACATGCTGATTTATTTAAAAGCTTTTGTATTTTAATTAATCCCGATTCATACTTTCAACAGAAACTTTCATAAGATCTGTATTTTTCATAACTTATTGTTTATTTTAATGGTGCTAATTAGCAGAGTTTCAGGAGCAGGACCACACATCAACCACTTCATCGCCAGCATTTCCATAAATACCCACACGTCCTAGCTCCTCCCCTTCAATCTCATATTCTGCATCCCCCCCCCCCCCCCCCCCCCCCCCCCCCCCCCCCATCGTAGCTTCCCCACAACGCTTTCGAATGTCTTTTTGACAACAGCAAGCTTTGTACATCTTCTGTTTAGATCATCAATAAATCATTTAATCATACCTGTTCATTGTGTGGTCTTTGCTATTGAACATACTCATTTACAATATAATCACTATATATATTTATAGTTTTTGATAAAGTGACACTGCCTCAGGTGCTGCTGTCAAGCCAATCAGATGGCTCCTTTCTTCTTTTTGTTTTGGCAGCATCTCAGCACTGTGCTGATAACGATACAGAGTCACCACGTCAGCTTAGTGCCGTAATTAAAGTTACAAATCACAGAATTCTCTGTACAGGAAAAATCCTGTTAGTAATGAATGACTCCGCTCTTGACATCATATCATAACAAAATGTTCAATTCTTGTTCCAGATTACCTCCCTGGTACAGAGTCTCAGTTGAAGTCAAGTTCTTTGGGAATCTATTCTGTGCAGCAGCAGAGAGAGAACAGCAGACAGGAGAGAAGATACTGGAGCTGTTAACATCAGTGTGCAGATATCAATCATTCCCTTTTAATGAAGAATACATGGATGATGATGATGTTGGTGGTGATGATTATTATAAGGAATATCGTTGTGGTTTCCTGCTGGATCTGTACTCCCACATGAAGGACTATAATCATGAAACAGGCTTGAGGATCCTTCCATTATTACAGTCAGTTTTCCAGTCAGCTCCTGCAGTCTGGTCCATAAACCTCTCAGAGAGAAAGACCTCCATTCTCCTGGAAGTGCTGAAACTCCAACCAGAGAAGAAACCAGTGGAACTGACAGGCTGCTCAGATGAAGAGAGTGAAGTGAGGAGTTTTTCCTACAGTGTCTGCCTTATATCTCACAGCTCAGGTAAGTTACAGACTATTGTCTATATTTAATAATAAAATGTGAATTATTTCAGAAAAGTTTTTAGTTAATAAATACAGGTCATTATCCCAGTTTTTCAAATTTACTGTCATTTACAAATAAACATAAAATGTCATAAAAAAAAATAATGTAGATAAAGTTGAATTCCATTTCTCAGTTCAGTAATTACTTAGTTTTATTTATGTTATTTATTAGTATGATATAATCACAGCTAGTCACACACATTAGAGTATTTCATCCTTTATGAAAGACACTGTACTGTATATTAGATCATTTGTAACGCAGTTTGTGCTGTACTTTTCCTTTGATGTTTTCACTCTTCATCCATAACTTTGTGTTTTAGCTGTGATCCAGAGTTCTTCCAGAGTCTGTGTGCAGTCATCTCTGTAAGATCCAGAGAGGCCCAGCAGTTGGCCTCTGTGCTGCAGCTCCTGGGCTTCACCTTGCTGTTAACAGGAGAGTTACACAGGAAAACCTGCAGGTCTGTGGGGAGGGTTCTCAGACTGTGTGGCTCTGATGTGGATCTGGTCCTCACACCCAGAAAGATGTCTGTCAGAGGAGCCTCCCTCCTCTTCAGCTGTACAACACAACTCCACAGTCTGAGGTTTACATTTATATCATTACTTGTGCTCTTAACACCATCACCTCCAGTTTGGATGTCCAGTTAGTGGTGAACATCTTTTATTTCACAGCTGCTCTCTCTTTGGTTTGCAGGCTTTTCGACAACATGGCCTTGCTACTGTGTCGATGGGTGAGAAGAGGGAGAGCGGCCTGTCCATTGGCTGTTGAAGAGCTTTCTTTGGCCCCTCAGAAAGCCCGACCATCAGACAGAGTGTTATTGAAGGTTGTCAGTAGTTGGCGTCCTTGCTGAGATACTGGGTAGTCAGACGGTTGGACCTGAATGAGTTCTGCATCCCTGCTCTGGGTCTCATTCCACTGCTGCTGCACAACGGTCCTCTAACCATCAAGTAAATGTCTTTCAGAATCAGAATCAGAAGGAGCTTTATTGCCAAGTAGTATTTTACACGTACGAGGAATTTGCTTTGGTGATAAGGTGCTACACATAGACAAACATACAGTTGACATAAATAAATGTAGAAATATATAATATGGAATAAAAAATGCAAGTTATATAAGAATAATAAAAGAATAGAGAAAAATAAATCACAACTATTTGCAGAGCAATAACAACGTGGCAGATATTTACATGTGCATTATTCCGGTTTTGTGTTGTGCAGACATATTGCAACAGAAGAGAATATTGTGTACATAATATAAATTGACAAAATATATAGCTGAACTTCTTCAGCTGCAGGAAGTACATCCTCCGTTGGGCCTAGGGAAGTGATGTTTAGCTCCCACTTGAGGTCCTGGGAGATGAATGTGGCCAGGAGCGGAAGGAGTCCACAGTGGCGACTGCGGGGTCACCCAGGATGATGGGGGAGGGTGGGGCTGTGCTCATTCTAAAATCCACGACCATCTCCACTGTCTTCAGAGTGTTGAGCTCCAGACTGTTCTGGCTGCACCAGGTCACCAGATGGTCGATCTCCCACCTGTAGGTGGACTCATCCCCACCAGAGATGAGCCCAATGAGGGTGGTGTCATCCGCAAACTTCAGGAGCTTGACAGACTGGCGAGTGGAGGTGCAGCTGTTGCTGTACAGGGAGAAGAGAAGGGGGGGAAAGAACACTGCCCTGAGGGGATCCGGTGCTGATGGTTCTGGAATCAGAGACATGTTTTCCCAGCTTCACGTGCTGCTTCCTGTCCGTCAAGAAGTCAGTGATGCACCTGCAGATGGAGTCAGGTACGTTCAGCTGAGAGAGCTTGTCCTGCAGCAGGGCCGGGATGATGGTGTTGAAAGCAGAGCTGAACTCCACAAACAGGATCCTGGCGTAGGTTCCTGGGGAGTCCAGGTGTTGGAGGATGTAGTAAAGGGCCATGTTTACTGCATCATCTACCGACCTGTTGGCTCTGTAGGCGAACTGCAGGGGGTCCAGAGTGGATATGTAATGGATTTAAGGTGGGTCAACACAAGGTGGTGTCCGATTGACTCTCAAAGCGGCAGTAGAACTGGTTCAGCTCATTTTCCACCCGAGAGTCATTAATGGAGTGGGGGGCTTTGAGTTTACAGTTGGTGATATGTCTAAACCCCGTCCAGACAGAACTGGTGTTGAAGTTTTCTGAGTACAGCCGTTCAGCTTCTCTCACCTCCTTGCTAAACCTGTACTTTAATGCCCTGCACCTGACCCTGTCCCCACTCCTAAATACCTCCTCCTTTTCCAACCTTGTTGTCCAACCACTGTCTGAGTTTGGCTGTAAACCAGGGTTTGTCATCGTTATAACTCACCCTGGCGCGTGTTGGTATGCAGCTGTCCTCACAGAAACTGATGTAGGCCTCTTTAAACTCATGCAGATTGTTGGTAGCAGTCCTGAAAACATCCCAGTCAGTGCAGTCCAAACAGGCCTGAAGATCCTCTACAGCTTCACTGGTCCACTTCTTTGATGTCCTCACCACAGGTTTACAGAGTTTTAATTTCAGCCTGTATGCAGAAATCAGATGGACCATGACGTGATCAGAGTGTCCCAGAGCAGCACGGGGACAGCATGATAGGAACTGCTTACTGTGTTGTAGCAGTGATCCAAAGTGTTCTCTTCTTTGGTTGGACACTTTATAAACTGTCTGTATTTGGGGAGTTCTTGGCTGAGATTTCCCCTGTTAAAGTCACCGTGTACAATAACAAGGGAGTCCAGCTTTGTCTGCTCCACACACAGGATCCAGTCGGCCAGCATGCGCTGTGTGTTGTGAACGTTAGCTTGCGGTGGAATGTAAACACCAACCAGAGTGAATGAAGCAAACTCACGGGGAGAGTAAAACAGTTTACAGTTAATGATATATTGAATATTCCAGATCAGGAGAACAGAGCTGCTGAATCACTGTCATGTCGGTACACCAGCCATTATTAATAGAAAACCTTCTGTTTGGCCAGAGAGTTCTGTGTCGCAGTCTGCTCTGTACAGTTGGAAGCCTACCAGCTGCAGCGCAGAGTCTGGTATCAGTTCACACAGCCAGTGAGCGCACGTTGGAGAGAAATATTGCCGGTAGCGGTGTGCGGAGTCCTCTTGAGCCTCTTGAACACATGCTAATCAATGAAAATGCAATGAAAAGATATATTCACACATTTCTATCTGCAGACTGAGCCAGGATATTTTCCAGCAGCTCCTCTCCCTCCTCCATGAAGTCCAGGACGAGGTCTTGACCATGTCTTCTTGAGTAAGGTTGGTGGAGACCTGAGCTCCTGCTGTCTGAACTGGGAGCTTCTTCACTATCTGCTGCAGCAGTCGTCAGCTCAGACCATCACTGTGAACCTGAGGAAGAACCTCTTCTTACAGGAGAGCGTCACACGTCTGCTTCCCTTTCTGGACAGGATTGTATTTAAAAGGTGATCACTTTGTTTGTTTTTACCAGAAACAGACGTCCAGCTGATCCTGTTCAATCTCTTGTGTTGTTGTGGCTCATGTTTTACAGCAGTTTGTTCATTCTTTGACTGAACAAAGTGTCCCGGTGAACACACTTTCTGCTTTCAGGCCCAGTCCCGGCTTTGTGTTGACTGCCATCAGAGAGATCTATAAAGCTCGTGCCAGTCCCATTATACCCAGTTTACTGAGGTCACTGGATCATGTGATCAACCTGACCTGCAGAGAGATGGACTCTGTGGACTGTGCTGCTCTGCTCTTCACCCTCAAACACAGTGACAGAGTTAAACTGAACCTCCAGTGGACCTCCATACCAACAGGAGACACAGAGTCCATCCTCTTTACGCTGGACAAAGTTTCTCAGCTCAGGTCAGACATTCGTTTCTCAGAGCTGTGCTTGGATCAGTCCTCTCCAACACACAGGATATAATGCACCTTTACCTGGAGCACCTTGGAAAATATATATATATGACGTAAAAAGATCATTCTGATTCTTTACAAACTGGTTCTTACCGTGTTACCAAATCTTAAGCTTTACTGATAGAAACGACTGAAACAACTTCAACAATCAGACCCATGTTGAAATAAATATTATATATCAATCAATATCAGATTGTTTGTTCAGATGTTGATATGATGTATTTTTGAATCCATGTTCCCTCCAGTGTGGACAGGAACCTGCTGCTGAGGCTGGTGCACTGCTGTGCTGCCTCTGACGCCCAGCAGGGGGCAGCAGTCGGCCTGCTCAGGACTGTGCAGGACAGGCTGGATCTGTCCTGCTCCTCCTGTGTGGAGCTGCCAGAGGAGGATCAGAGGGAGACTCTCAGTCTGACCGGTGAGGACTGCGGGGCCGTCTCCGCCATCCTGAGACGCAGCGTCCGGGACACACAGCTCAACCTGCAGGACTGCGAGGTGGAGGACAGCGGACTGAACCTGCTGTTTCCTGTCCTCCGCAGAGTCCGCCTCAGGTGGGAAAGACCACAGCGTGACCTAAACCAGAGTAGGATCTTGTTCTCATGTTGATGCATCGTAACCGTCTGTTCTTTGCTCTGATTGGCCTGTTTAGAGCCAGTAAAGCCGTCCTCCTCCAGCTGGTGTCCCTGGTTCCTGTGAACAGTGAGGGGGACACAGTGAGACGGGCGGTGTCCCTGTGTAGAGCCCTGGACGGAGAGCTGGACCTCAGTCACACCTCACTGGATCAGAGGGCCTGTGGAGCTTTGGCCCTGATGCTGGACTCCTCTGAAGGGCTGACAGAGCTGGACCTCAGTCACTGTGAGCTCACCGACCAGCTGCTGCTCACACTCATCACACATCTGCACAAAGTCCAGGTCCTGGAGTGAGTGTCCCCCTGTACACATACATGTGATCATGTGACTAAAATGCGTACAGCGCTGTGTGGTCTCTGTCCTCGGCAGTAATAAATGTAGCGCCGTGTCTCTGTTTGTGTGCATGTTACAGTCTGAGTCACAATAAGATCTCTGATGCTTCAGCTGGAAAGTTACTCCACCTGGTCTCCATCAACCCCTCCATCGGCACTGTGCGGTGAGCAAACATTAATTAGTGCTCCGTTCATCTATGAAGACATTTGTGCTCACAGAGAAATCCTTCATGATTCCTCATGTTATTGTGGCTGAATGAGTAACGTTTGCTCTCTGCTCTGGTGTTTTTCTAGACTCTTCAGCAACAACATTGTGGATCGAACACCCTTTAAGAAAGACAAGCGGTTTGAACTCTGGTGACCCGCTCGTCAGTGTGGAGGCCCCAGGTGGGTGCTGCACATTGGTGGAGGCTGAGAGGAGTATCTGAGATAAATGGCTGTATAAATGTAATCCATGAAGAAGACTTTCAGGTGTTGTTTATTGTAACCAGCTACCTGATAACATCGCTCATCGTTATTATTTGTTAAATATGTACCGTTCATCAGCCCCTCCCTTCTCCACCACAGAGGGGCTGATGCGGTACAGGCCAGAGGCCGGCTTTGAACGCCACCAAGTCCCCTTCGCACTGGGACCTTCTCTATGAGGGCTGTTAAGTCTGATCTTTGGATGCTGGACTGAAAAAGTTCATGGTGCCTCATAAGAACTGAACCCAGGACAGTCCTCTATGATCCTGAGCTGAGGGCCTGGAGGTCCTTGAACTGTCTCAGTCTTTCCTTTGGCTCCAGGGACGGTGATGTCGGCTCCGGTCCCTCCACCACTTTGGTCCAGGTCATGAAATGTGGTTCAGACCTTCATGGTTCCCAGAAGATGAATCCTACTGACTGTGGTGATCTTTATGTTTCTCATCTCTAAAAGCTGCTCGGTCTTTCGTCTGGACTTTAAATCTTTAAACTGTTCTCAGAAATTTCTAATCAGGGACCCTGTTTTTTTCCAAGAGACAATTAATCCATTACCAGATTAGAAAACACTGTATGAAGTTATTTCTGCCTGTAAGTAATCTTTTAAAAACGCCTGGTTCCTTCACATGTTAAAAAACTGTTTGTTAAATCAGAGGCCTGAGACAGAACCATGGATTGTAGTTTGGACTGTCATTTATCATTATATTATATTATCTCTTTCACTATTGTTTGCATTATTGACATGTTTTAAAAGGGGAGGGGGAAGTGAAGTTTGGGGGACCCCTGTGATATGCAAAGCAGAACAGGTGAGACTTTAGGGGCCTCTGTAACACAGGGGGGCCAGAGGACACAGGAACATGACACTATTAGGTGGATTATATGTTGGAACCTCCTGTTAACTGTGGATATTACTGACCTGCAGCGTCGGCCACGCTTCATCCTGGTACCTTTGTGTTTGACCTCTAAGGAGGAAATCTGTTTGAAATCGGACAATTTAAGTTAATTGAAGGAACGAACGTTTGGTCTGCTGGGACATTGAGGTTTTCTGTTCTGAAGCCTCCCAGCTAATCTCAGCAGGTATCAGATCCGCCTTTTACCTCATATTGTGCCTTTTGTACCTTTCCCTTGATTTGCTTTTGTGTGAATTGTTACTAAAATCACTGCACTCTTTTTTTTATTTTTTATTATGAAATAAGACTTTAAAGAGTTTTACTGACCGTTATTCTTGGGAAATGTTATATTCTCAAATTCACAAACATAGTTTTTTAAAGTGAAACCTGAGTTCTTTCTTTTACAAAAAGCCTTTAATGTCATGAAAATGAAAAAGCAGTGAAGTCTTTAGTTTAGCAGCAGAATTACACAACACACATTTCTTTATTCCTAGTTTGTCTTTGTTCCGTCTGTTGGTCCTTTCTGTAGAAAGTGAAAGTCAAAGCCAGGTTGTTTGTATCTGGAATATTGATCAATAAAAACAAACTTCTGCTGCTTCCTGTTTAATTATCGTTTGAGAGGTTTCCACCAATCAGAAGCGGTTGCTAGGCAGGCGCTGATTCACCTGAGCAAACACCTGTTTTCTTCCTGTGGACGTTTCCAGGCGCCACGAGGGGAAAAACAAAGTGGGAATAAAAACAGGATGTGACTGAAACTTCATCAGTGAAGAAATGTGGATGGTTGAAAGCTCCGGTAGGTGATGAGTGACAGCTGGACGGTCAACACACCTGCGGCTGGAAGGTAAAGCTTTGCTTTAGCTCTGCTGAGAGCAGACTTAAGCTAAAAAGAGTCTTGGCTCAAAGCTTAAAAGTTATCTTAGTCCTATTTTAAGTGAAGTGTAGGACTCAGGCTGTGGTCGAAAAGTAACATCTCTTTTCCTAAACACATGAAATAAATAAATAAACAAAAATAACCAATGCAAACTGAGCATTTAACGTGAGGCTAAACGCTGCAACATGATCCTTTTACAAGACTGGTAACGTTAGGGTAGGGGTAATTACAAAAAAAACACAATGTCTCACTGAACTAAACATTTCCACACAATGTTTGAAGTTATTTTATCAAAGCCATTCCGACATAAGTTGATCTAATTTTTTAGTCATATGAAATAAGATGTACTTTTTTTTTTATTGTGATATATATATTATTATTTTTATAGTTTTTGATTAAAGTAATAAAATGCTAGATTAGTAGCACCTTAGCCCTTTATGGTTGATCGTTATTTAGACACCGGAGAGCCCCTTTAGCCAATGAGCAACTTCACTGTCTGAAAGTCTGAAGTTGGAAACTCACACATGCTCACAATTTTACCTGTAATTTCCCTAAATAAAATACATTTGATTAAATACAAATTAATTTGTCAACTGTAGCTATTTATTTTACTTTGTTACCCTAAGCAAAGCCTTCTTAAAGATACAAAAAATCAACAAAATGTTCTTTAATGTGTCAGAAAATAGACATTGAGCTTAAGGGGGGGCGTCTTACCCCAAACTACCCTAACACAGCTCGCATGGGTCTCAGTTATTGTTGACATATGTATATTAGCAAGTTATGGCATCAGAGGAAAAGGTTTAAAAGACAATGGTAACTAACACAGTGATCGACATCCTTTATCCGTCATGGTTCTAATGGTTAAAATACAACATTTTACAGCAAATTTCAACAACCCGAAACATAAAATGGTGTTGAAACAGCATCAGATTACAGCAAAGCCAAAAGAAAACAAAGCAAATGGAAGAAGGAAATTGTGAGAGTCTTATTCAGGTATCATGTCTTCATCACTGCAGACATGTTGCAGCATTGAGGGATGTGTGTGGACTCATTGATGCTGTGTGCTGCTTGTTTTGTGGGACTGTGTTGTGACAGAGGGAATCTCCGAAAGGTTTTTCCTCAGGTGTCTGTGAATGAAAGGCTTCACGTCCACATGAAGCTTTGTGTCCATCTGACTGACTCCTCAGGTTGTTACCTGGCAGTAAAGTCTGAACAAGGCTGACTTTTATTTTCGAAACCAAACGGCTGGTGATCCAGCTGACGGTTCCCATTTGCTCCCAGTCCGTTTCACACAGCCTGACGCAGCCGTTAAAATAAATAGCTACGTTTTATTTGTCTTATGTGAGGCTTTTAATATGAACGTAGGCTATCTATTTTTGGTTAGTATAGCTTTCTTAGGCCTACTAGGTACAGCAGCTGGAAGCGAGTCTTCTAAATTTAATGTTCTATCCTTTAATCAAGCAAACAGTTTCTTTCTGGAGCTGCTTTGTGCACGGGGGCGCTGCCATGTAGAAACAGGAAAGGGACACAGAGTTGAAGGAGCACTATTGACCCGGACGTCCACATGTGGAAGACACTGAAACCCCAAATGAAAGCTGCTTTAGATAAAAGTGTCTGCGAATGAAGATGAGAGTAAGTAAAATACTCACTGTCCATTTACTTTTGGCCATATACTGTATCAGCTGTGCCACCCAATCAGGTGCAGGCTCAGCCTTCACTATATTTGCAGACTGAACTAGATGCAGATTATAAGTGTGCAGCGCTGGTGAAGACACAGTGTGTGTGAGCTGAGTCTCCTGTGGTTTCATTACTCCACACAAACAGCACTCGAACTCTGATCTGTGGCATCTGTCACATGTTTAACCTCCTTTAAAGCCACCAGACAGACTCGTGTTAATGTTACTGACTCATTCACGTGGACTCGCTTCTTTTCACGTCTTTCATCTTGTTTGTCTCTCTGTGGTTCTCAGTGGTTTTCTGTCCGCCGCGGCGTCCCGAAGGGACAGCGCCATGAGCCGGGCGGAGAGAGGTGAGGTGACCCTGTCTCAGGTGGGTGAGGTCAAAATCATCTCTTGATTTATTTGATGTCTTCTGTCCTCGCTGTTACTGAAGGTGACTGAACATGGAGGTGAAGAAGAGTCCTTGGATGGGCCCTTTACTGCCTCCTCCATCCTCTGTGTGTGTGTAGATGATCGCAGCCTTTGAGGCGGAGTGTGTGAAGGAGGCCCAGGTCAGGGGTGTGACTCTGCCGTCCGATTGGTCAGTCAGAGGCCTGCTGGAGGAGCTCAGGGAGGCGATGATGGACGTCCAACCAGCCGTGCTGAAGGCAGCCGCCGGTCTGCGTCACCGTGGTAACTATGCATCAACACATCTGCACGGGAAACACACACAGCTGTGGCGCCCGATGACATCACCAAAGGCTGATTCTACGCCTCCATCCATCAGGGTTACTGACGGCCGTGCTGGCCAATCACTGGCTAGATGACAGCGCGGCTGGAGACGGTCCAGCCCGCCTTCTGTCTCTGCTGGGCGGCCATTTTGACCAGGTCCTCCAGTCCTGCCGCTCGGGTCACAGGGTCCCCGAGTCCTCCGCGTTCAGCTCTGCTCTGCGGCACCTGGGAGTGACATCGCAGCAGGTCGAGGACACGCCCACACACACACACGAGTGTAAATCCTGGTCCGGGACAGCGCGCTCAGCCTGTCGGTCTGATTTCAGGCTCTGTGGTTGGACGCAGATGAGGAAGGTGTGAAGGCAGCAGAGGGAGCGGGGATGAAGGCCGTCTTGGTGGAAAATCTGGCCGACGCTCTGGACAAACTGGCCGACTTCACTGGAGTTCAGGTGTGACCCGGAACTATTTGATCTTATACTGTCAGAGAAACAAAAAGCTAAAGAAAAGGTGATCTAGGAGCTTTTCACTCTGTAACTTCTCCATCTTGTTGTTTGCATTTCATTTTGCTAACCTGAATCTTGACAGCCTCGCAGCATCACAGCTTTCCCACATTCATTCATTTAGCTGTTGTTCTACTCCACGTTTCTCGGGAACCGCTGCCCCCCATCATGACAGAATTTGCGTCTTTAAGGTAAAGAAAAGAGAAATGAGGCTTTAGTGCATAGAAGCTGGAACCGGCGGGTGATGCAGGAGCAGCAGCTGGTGCCAGAGGAAAGGTCATGTTGCTGCCTGAATCAGTCAGTTTGACCTCAGACAGCTGCTGCGCTAACATCAGCACGCTAACATCCACACTTCCATGTGTTTCAGGCTGCTGGAGCAGAGAGTCCTCCGCCCTCCTGCAGCCCAGATGAAGTGTCTCATGGTTACGTCACCATCGGGGTAAAGATCTGGATCGGGGTCAACACAGAATTCTCCTCCTGCTGTCTGTTTAGGAAATGATGGAAGTAAGACGCAGCTGAAACGTTGCTTTCTCGTGACATTAATGATAATTCCTCTGTGTGTGCGTCAGCCTGGTGTGAGGACTCATTATGTTGAAATGGGCTCAGGTCCACCAGTTCTGCTGTGTCACGGCTTCCCTGAGAGCTGGTACTCCTGGAGGTACCAGGTAACGTGTTCAGACTGGATTTCACCTGAAAGTTTGGATGTTGTACACGTTTATATATTGAAACTAAAAGCAAACACTCGTGTGCCTGAACATCCTCTCCTCTCTCTGGTAGATCCCGGCCGTGGCAGCAGCAGGGTTCAGGGTGTTGGCTCTGGACATGAAGGGGTACGGAGAGTCCACAGCGCCCCCAGGTGTGTGTGGGTCAAAGGTCAACACTAAATCGCTCTTTTTAACGTGGAACCAAAAAATCCTGCTCCTCTGAATGGAAACAAGTTTAAATTACAAATAATCAAAAGATAAAGTAAAAATGTTTCCATGAGAGTTAAACAGATACACGTATAATAGACAAAATGTAGTCAAATAAATGCAGAATCAAAAGATCAGCAGAACAGGTGCAGATCATACAACAGGAAATAAAAATATAAACGTCCGAGGACGGTTAAATATCTCACAATAGAAACTAAACTTTATATTTACTAAAATATGGCGACGACGGGCTGAAATATCTGGAGAAAAAGTCAAATATTAATCCAAGAACATGGAAATCTAGAGTTAAATTGTTGCGTGTAGGTTTGTCCAAATATTCCAAATAAGAGTTGATAATCATAAGAATCAGAACCCTGAACATGACTTTAAAAACAGTGACATGAGAAAACACGAGCACTTCAGCTTCATCATCGAGGAAATCTTTTTGTATTGAACCCAAATAATCATGTCAATAAAAATGAAAAAGGGCTGTTCTGCACTTTTTCTCCTCCTTTCTGCTACTAAAACAATCTAAAAGCTGCTGCGTCTAATGTGTCTAAGTTAGAGGTTAAGAGGGTAAAAGGGCCTCGCTCACAGTCACAGAAGAAGAAACCTGAGAAGGAAAGGCTTTCTGAGCGAGAAGATGAGGATACAGCCATTATTCATATAGCCAGACAAACAGTATCAACACCTCCCAGATGATCAGAGGGACGTGATGCATTGCTGTAGACTAAATCCCCAACTGTCCAAAGTTCAGAAGACAGCTTTAAAGTTCACTGACAGACACTTTAGATCTAGTTTAGTTCATCTGGACACAACCAGAAATGTGAAAAGGATCATTTAAATAAACCAAAGTATTTGTGTTTTTCTAGACGGCAGCTAAAGAAGACGAGCCAGAGATTTGACTGTGGGACTCGCATGACGATAGAGCTCTGGATCTGTCCACCTAAACGCAAAGTGTCCACCTGTGTGTGTTGCAGGGCGCGGCGGAGGCCGAGCTGGAGAAAGACTTGGAGAGGACCTTTAAGATTTTCTTTTTCAGCAGCGGTGAAGCGGTGAGTAGACACACACGCACGAGTCCAGTCCGCACAGGCAGAAAAATCCCCTTCGTGTCACATAAGAAATGTTGTGTTTCCGTCTTCAGGCGAAGCGTCCTGCCGTCAGCACCGCAGGAGTCTGCGCTCGAGGTGAGCCTCCACCCTGAAGTCTGAGCCGGGACTTCCTCCCGAATGATATTTGCAGAGCTCATTAAAAAGCCCGGCAGATACTGACACGTCCCGTTACAGGTGGTCTGTTTGTGGGTCTGCCGGAGCAGATTCCCCGGAGCTCCGTGCTGACGGAGGCCGACCTGCAGTACTACGTCAGCCAGTACAGAGAGCGAGGCTTCAGGTGGCTCAAAACAGGACACGGTATCTGTTCACAGGCCGCTAACATTTTCATACAGAGTCGATCACCGTCTTGTGTTTGGTTTCACAGGAGACCGTTGAACTGGTATCGTAACGGGGAGGCGAACTGGAGGTGGATGTGTTCTCGTCCCACTGCAAAGGTTCGTTACAGAGCGCATTATGAGACGCCAGCATCTCAAACAAACATTTAAGAAAACAAAACCAGGCTCTAAAACTGGGTTTCTACACATCCTGGAGTTCTGCAAAGCATTTTCAGCTCATTTAAACTTCTTGGAAACCGACATATCGTATCGTCCTGCTGGAAAAGGTTTAATGTCAGAATATAGGTGAACATCAAAGTCACCATCAGGTTGCTGGATTATCTGTCACAGTGTTTGTGTTCCTGCAGCAGCTGGACGAAGATCAGCTGAAGAGAAATTTACATTTGCCCCTAAAAAGTGCCGACCCTGTTTCTGATGTTGCTGTATAAGTCAGGTTTCTGCAGGCTTAGTAGCGTCTGACTTCCTGTTTGTGGCCCTCAGCTCCGAGCCCGTCGCTTCCTACTGAAGACGGAAATCTTTAAAAACATCTCACAGATATTTAGTTGCGGTTTTGTTTCCTAAAGCAGCTGCTCACTGTGGTTTTTATCCAACAGACAGGAAGCAGTGCATTTGTTAGGGACTATTTTCAGCGGCGGATGAATCCACAGGTGGCGGGTTTGGGGCAGCAGGACGGTGTGTGTGGGACTGAGTCAGAATAAAGTACAGAGTGTGTTCATGGTGATGAAGGAACATGTGACCCAGTGCAGCAGAGAGGCTCACTGATGCTTTGACTTCAAGTTCAAAGACTGATTTTTATTTCCACTTTAGAGGACTGAGATGCACAAAGAAAGTCTGTCTGTCACTGTGTGTGTGTCTCAGCTGCTGATGCCTGCTCTGATGGTGACGGCAGGTAAAGACCAGGTTCTGCTGCCGGCCTTCTCCAAAGGGATGGAGGACTTGGTGAGAAAAACAGCAGCGTCCTTCCTGAAGACAGACAGAGTGATTATAGATTATTGGAAATGAATCTGACCCGGTCTCTGTTGGTGGACTGCAGATCCCGAACCTGAGCAGAGGACACATCGAGGAGTGTGGACACTGGACTCAGATGGAAAGGCCAGCGGAGACAAACAGCATCCTGATATCATGGCTTAGAGAGACGCACAAGAAGGCTGGAGGCGTTAAAGTGGCCCCCAAACTGTGAGGGGGGGGAGGAGGGAGGGAGGGAGGAAGAGAGGAGGGAACAGAGGGAGGAAGGAAGGAAGGAAGGAAGAGAGGAGGGAACAGAGGGAGGGAGGGAGGGAGGAAGGGAGAGAGAGAGGGAACAGAGGGAGGAAGGGATGGAGGGAGGAAGGGAGAAAGGAAGGAAGAGAGGAGGGAACAGAGGGAGGAAGGGAGGGAGAGAGGGAGGGATGGACGAAGGGAGAGAGAGAGAGGGAGGGAGGGAGGGAGGAAGGGAGAGAGAGAGGGAGGGAGGGAGGAAGGGAGAGAGAGAGAGAGGGAGGAGGGAACAGAGGGAGGAAGGGAGGGAGGGATGGACGAAGGGAGAGAGAGAGGGAGGGAGGGAGGAAGGGAGAGAGAGAGGGAGGAGGGAACAGAGGGAGGAAGGGAGAAAGGAAGGAAGAGAGGAGGGAACAGAGGGAGGAAGGGAGGGAGGAGGAGAGAGAGGGAACAGAGGGAGGAAGGGAGGGAGAAAGGAAGGAAGAGAGGAGGGAACAGAGGGAGGAAGGGAGGGAGGAAGAGAGGAGGGAACAGAGGGAGGAAGAGGAGGGAACAGAGGGAGGAAGAGAGGAGGAAGGAAGGGAGGGAGGAAGAGAGGAGGGAAGGAAGGGAGGGAGGAAGAGAGGAGGGAACAAAGGGAGGAAGGGAGAAAGGAAGGAAGAGAGGAGGGAGGAAGAGAGGAGGGAACAGAGGGAGGAAGGAAGGAAGGAGGGAAGGAAGAGAGGAGGGAACAGAGGGAGGAAGGAAGGAAGGAAGAGAGGAGGGAACAGAGGGAGGAAGAGAGGAAGGAAGGAAGGAAGGAAGGAAGGCAGCGAGGGAGGATAAAGAGGATCAAAGTCAGAATAAATGATGAACGAGCGTTTGTGTCTGATTGGAGCCAAATAAAAAGTTCACTTCATCTTTGTGTCAAATCGATTATTATATTAGTCGATTAAAAGAAAAAGACTCGACAGCAACTTTGAAAATCAAACATTTATTTATCAGAAAAAGTTTTTCTCTGTTTCAAATCATTTCCATCTGAATATTTCACCTTTAGTTATTCTACACTATAAAAAATGATGCAGTAATAAATAGTAACTTCATCAATTCTCTGAACGGCACTTGTGACTGTTTGACTCGGACATACCAAAATAAAAGCCTAGAAATTCAACTTACAATTTATCATTCAGCTTTATTTCACAAAATGAAATTCTATTTGTTAGAAATCCTTAATATGTTTGTTAAATTTGACTCAGAATATCTGAGAATGGATTAATTCTACTGATTAGTTTGAAGAACTACAATAATAAGATTATTATTTCAACTTTAACAACAAAGTGAAAAGCTGTAAGAAAGAAAGAGTCAGTGTCTCAGATCAAACAGCTCAGAGTGTTAGAAGGCTGCTCAGAAGCTCTGAGGTTGTGGGTTCGATCCTTATGAGGCTCAGTGACTTTTGAAGTCCAACAGCCAAAGTGAGAAGATAAAAGCGCCCGGAGAAAAGGTTCAGATGTGAAGGGGACTCGGCGGCGGCGTGGGGTTCGATGGCGACCGCGAGGCGCAGGCGGCGCAGCGGTGGTTCGAATCCCGCGTGCGGCCGGGTACCCGGAGCCGGTCCCGCGGCGTCGGGTTCGGGAGGGGGCCGTGTCCCCTCCCGGTGTTCTGGAGAGGTAGAAGCTGGGGGTTATGGAGCGGGAAACAGGAAGTGGCTGAAGTTTTCCTAAAAGGTGGAAGATGACCAACAGCACAAGGTCTTTATTGGTCCAGAACAGGTGCTGCTGGGACTCGTGTCAGGTGTCAGCTGGAAGCGAGTCTTCAGGGCGTGTCCCCAACAGCCTGGAAGAGACAGAAGAAGAAATGAGTCCACAGGTTTGTGACAAGTGAACAGTTTGAAAATCCATCAGTGAGTGAAGCTGCAGACAAGAAACAATAATCCATTCAACAAACAGAGTGTTTCCATGGAGATGATGATGTGAAGCAGCGGCGGAAGAAGGACTCTGAACATTTCCCTAAGCAAAAGCAGCAGCGGCACAGTGTAAAAGTACTGTGTTCGAGTCCCAGTAAGTACATGATCCATCAACATGTGATAGTTACTGTGTGTTTGTGTTAATAATGTGCAGAGTGAGTAAAAAGTGCAGCATTTGGCCTGAAATGTAGTGGAGTCCAGGTCTAATGAGGTCCAGGTCAGATGTAATGTCAGTAATATCAGTGTGAGCAGTGGATCAGTAGAATCTGAAGCTGATACAGTAGCAAGTGTATTTAGTGTTAGTTCATTTAGTGTGAGCATGTGAAGAAGAAGAAGAAGAAGAATGTGCTGACCTGGTCTGAGGGAAAGGCTGCTGCGGACTGTAGAAGGAAATCTGTAGAGTGAGGACATGAAATATATTCAGATGGGACATGACGAGGTTTCAGCTTGTTTTTAGAGCTTTATTTTGAAAAGAATAAACAAACCTTCCTGTGGAGGAAATCAGAGGACAAACATCAATATAAAGCAGCAACTTTACCATCAAAATGAAAATACACAGAAATCAGCAGCAGGGGGCAGCATCACACTGTTTCACAGGTTTATTCTGTTCAGTGCAGAAGTGAACTGAAACTAAATATTGTAGCCTAAATTATGTTCATTATAATGCTTGGATGTTTATCTTTAGTTAGATTAGATCTTTAATTTAGATCTTTAGTTCTGTTCCTGAATAGGATTGTTGTCAATTCACCAAATTCACATGTCAGGGACTTTGTTTCAGAGCAGGTGTCAGGTGTCATCAACATATCTAAATAAAACATTAGACGATGATATACAAATACATGAACCAACATTTTTGTGTTTGACTTGCCAGATTAGGGCTCAGATTAGGGGTGTGATGACTCTTTGCTCACGAGACATGACGATGCACAATTTTGGGTTCACAAGAACGAGATGAGGGAAAGATATTATAACATGATTTTTTAGAGTTATTCATTGCTGAAATATATAAGTGGGGTCTGGTGGTCCCCCTGAAGCTTTGGAGCATTAAAACACTTAATTTCCTGCAGTCTGGAGAAATTTTCTGCACCAATTTATGGTGGTGTTTATTTATTTATCAAAGGGAAACAGAGGGTAGCAGGTGGAAATGCAAAATAAAAATATGATGGAATATAATGCAGTATTCAGTGGCTTTGTTTCTCCTATAATTAAATTGCATTGCATGCTGTAACAACAACTCAGGTGACTCCACTTTCCAAACACAGCGACGCAGTTTGTCTCTTCAGCCACCAGAGGTCGCTCTGCCTCTGCAGCTTTGTGTTTGTGCTCTGCAGATGTGCAGCAGGAGACATCGGGAACAAATTAGGGGAAGGAGAGGAGGGCAACACAGACTGCAGATAGTAGTAATGCCTCACTGTGAAAATACTCCATTACAAGCAAAAGTCCTGCACTTGAAATTATAAAGAAGTATAAACTATCAAAGTGCTGTGCAGCAGTATTATGCAGGTACAATAATCTGTCAGGGTTATATTATTATATAAGTAAAATTTTAATCTGCAAAGGTTAGTAAAATATTTAGAATTTAGAAGTATAAGTGGAAATACTCAAATGCGAGTACCTCAAAACTGTACTTAAGAGGAGTAAATGTAATTCATTACTTTCCACTACTGACAGAGACAGCAAGGATGATTAAGATTATTATTATTAAATTTGATATTTAGGTTCTTTAAAGAGGAGAAAGTGATTTTTATCTTTTATTTTTTGTTTTTTTTTACTTTTTGTGTTGTGATCAGAAACTGTTTGTTAAAAAGGTCTTAACTTTAATTCTGGATCTTTATTAGACTGTTTAAAAAGCAACTATAAAATTACCCACTGCTGTGACTTCAGGTGCTACACATCATTAAACCTATATTTCAGATCAGATTAATCAGTTAGATTCACATGAAACTGAACCATCTTCACTCTTTTAGCAGATAAACTGATTCTAAACACAGAGACTTAGTCGCTAAGAGATCATAGATGTGTGTGATAACTCTGACCCAGAACCAATCTCCACCCTAAAGCCTGAACCCTGATTGAACCCTCACAGACTCAGCTGACGTCACCTGGTAAGTGCTTAAGTGCAAGAGGCTGCGAGGGCCCGAGATGGTTTAACGGGGCAGCACAACACTTTGCAACATATCACGTGACCTTGGGACTTTTTATTTTAAATGTTTTGCTTTATTCAAGGCCGAGACACTGAAGGGGCCGACTGTCTGATCTGATCACTTTCCAGGCTCCTGCAGGGAGCTAAATGCTAACGTCAGCATGCTAAGATGGTTAAAGAAACACATCTCCACTGCATACCTTTACCACCACAGTGAATAAAACCACTCCTGAGACAAACTTAAACGATCTGGATGTAACCTTAGCTGAAAGACACACACACACACACACACACACACACACACACACACACACACACCTTGCTTCCTGCCAACGAGCTGCTAATTAGCCTGTGTGTAATTTTCATTGTTGCCAATTACAGCCGGAGGGGCTGAGGTGTGTGTGTGTGTGTTTACACTCGATGCTAACGAGCCGGCCTGCCCTGCCAAGCGGTTGACCCACTTCCCAAAGGAGGTCCCCAAGGACCCCCCAACACACACTCAGCGGTGGGCGTGTCCATAAGAGGTCACATGGTCACAGTAACCGGATCTAAATCATCTTCGTCTCCTTTAACAAGTTTTTTTTTCTGTCCAGGTGATGAAGCCTGAGCTCAGTCTGTTCCTCCGTGTTTGTGATTTTAAATGTAAAAGATTGGGCTCCAACTAACATTTGTATCGATTAACTGATTAATTACTTAAAATCGTGACTCTTCACACGTCTCTCTTCAAATATTCAAGCAGGTCATCTTCAATTGACAAAGATACAAACAAATCTGTTTTATTTATAATATTTATGACGTTTTATGACTTCTTCTGTATTAAATCAGACCACAATCTTTCTGTAACCATAACCAAGAGCGAGACGCCGCTAAAGATAAAATGGTTTTTGCTCATTTTGTTGATGGAAAACGTTACCGGCTGGCTTCAAGTT